GGAAGGCCAGGGTTGGCTTTTATATCTGTGATGCCAAGTGCAGTCAGCTGGCTAATCGACATCATGAAGCCCCTACATCCCAACCATGTTATTACCATCCAACTTAAAAAAAAGAATATATTGCAATGTGTATGTTTATGCAGACACAAAGTACAAAACACTGCATCCGATTCAAACACTGCTCTGAAAAATTCCAGTGTCCAATGTCAACTTCAAATGATCGTTTCCCATTCAGGGGGAGCTCCTGAGAGAAAACCAAGATGAGTACAGCTGTTCTCCAGGGCAGAGTGAGAGCTAGGAAAGGGAAAGTAAGAACTGCAATCAAAAAGGATGACTCAACCCTCCATCCACGTCAGTCCTTTGAAGAAAAACTCTTTTTTAGAGACATGTAATTTTCCTGGAGGACTTGGTACAGTGTCATTGGCAACCTGGACTTTCTTCCTGGAATGTCTGGTTTAAAACTTGTCAGGGCTCAAAGGGGAAGAAAGGTCATTCATATCCAATGGATGCCTTTGGGAGGCAGTTAGGACATTGAATCCAGTTGCTAGCAGATCTCTATGGACATCAAGGCAAAAATGAAGGGCAATATCTATTTACCAATGGATCCAAAGGAAGACGGTTCCAGTTAATGTTTAAAAGGGCCATAAGGAAGAATAACCACCTATTTGTGTAGTGCTTGTGGTTTTCAAAGCATTTTCTTATGCATGTTCTTCATTTGATTTTCACGATACTCCTAGGAGTTAGACACGACTGGTTTATCCTAGTTTATTGGTGAGAGATCTGAGACTTAGAGATGTTAGGTGACTTGCCCAATGTCTTGCAGCTAGCATGTGATAGAGCTGGGATTGAAGCCCAGGCTTCTCTATTCCAAAAACCATGCTCTTAATGACTACACTTACAATTCCTCACGGCCAGGCACACACAGCTAAGTAAGACATGTTAGGACAACACAGAATCTTTTCATTCAAGTTTGCCACATACTGGCTGTGTTCCAGGTAGTTAATTCAGCAGCTCTCTTTAGCATCCCATTTCTTACAAGAAAAGGGAAAGTAATGTATCTAGCATCTCAAAGACTATGAGACATTTTAGATTGTTAGTAGTAGTAGTAGTGATGATGATGATGATGATGATCATGGAAAGTGGTAAGGACTTACTATGTGCCAACCATAGTCTCAAATGATTTTGCCTGTATTCATTCACTTAATTACTGGATCCTCACTGTGACCCAATGAAGTGGGTGCTACTGTTACCTCCGTTTTATAGACACTTAGGAATTTAGCCCAAGGTCGCCAAGCAAGTGGCAGAGCCAGGATACAAACCCGTTTGACTACACACCTATGCTCTCGCTCACTCTCCTATACTGTGCCAGCACTCCCTCACCACCTTACAAGACAGCATGGACATATCCACTTCCCAAATAGTCACAACCAAGGAAGCAAATTGCAAAGGGTGATGTGGAGAGAAAGCGCAAACTTTTAACAAACATTTTCAGGGTACAATCACTTTTGCTTTTTCATTGAAACCATGTGCGAATGTGATTGTGTATCTCTGACTTCAAAGAGTCACTAGAAGGTAAGATCTTTCATTAAAGATGTTTTCTTATAACCCTTAGTCTCTGTGGCCAGCCATTTGGTATCTTTAATTTGTATATTATAATTTGCCCATTCTGGCCACACGCACCATTTTGCCATTTGCAGGAATAATACTTTGCATTTAAACACATCCTAATTGTTCTACTAGTGTTTGTGCACAGGACTTGCTCAGCAAGGCTAATCCTGCTGTGGAAGGCGCCAGTGGTGGGGCAGGGAAAGGGGAGGTTGTCCTGATTATGAGAGACTGGTGACTGAAATGTCAAATTAGAAACTGACACTACTTGATCCTGTTTTACATTTTCATACAAGCATTTGAAATGCATTCTCTTGGGATAAGGTCTTAGGAGCTTTTTGGATAAGACTGGTGTGTATTCACTAAACTTGGACAATTTAGATCTCCTTAGGTGAGTCCAGGTGCAATGATTATGGATGAGATGGTTTGAGGATGTCTCCAGAAAGCTAATAGCTTTTTTATTGGACTATGTCTGCATGAATATAGCCACTGGGTTCTAGGAAAGTTTCTAAGTAAATGTCGGCTCAAACCAATGGTGTGGTCTGGCCCCTTGGACAACAATGCATTTGTTTGTATGTGTTACCCCCAATCATCCTGCCACAACTAGAATTATTTTGCAATTCTGTAGCTCAGACAGAAGACCCAAACTTATCTCTAAGGTTTGCTGCAAGGTTCGAATGAGACAGAGCACCTAACTTAATGTCTGGCACAGAGCAAGGGTGGCTCCATAAATGGGAGCTCTCAGCACTCCTCCTGATATTGCTGCAGGTATGACAGTCCCAATTATAAGATGAGGGAATAGTACCACATTATCTATGTGGCACTATATTATATCACCTGTAAAGAAAGTAACTTTGGCAGTTCCTCATTAAGTTAAGCATAGAATTACTATATGACTCAACAATTCTACTCTTAGGTATATACCTAAAAGAATTGAAAACAGGTGTTCAAACAAAAACTTATACGTAAATGTTCACAGCAGCACTGTTCACAAAAGCCAAAAGGGGGAAACAACCAAAATGTCCATCAACTGACGAACGGATAAACAGAAAGTAGTAAATCTATACAAAGGAATATAATTTAGCCATAAAAAAGGAATGAAGTACTACATCCCAAAGTGACAACGTGACTGAACTAGAAAGCATTATGGTAAGTGAAAGAAGCCAGACACAAAGGTCACATATCGTATGATTCCATTTATATGAAATAGGAAAATCCATAGAGACAGAAAGTAGATTAGTTGTTGTCAGGGGTTGAGAGGGAGGGGGAAATGGGGAGTAACTGCTTAATGGGTCTGAGGTTTCCTTTTGGGATGATGAAAATGTTCTGGAACTGGTGATGAATGCACAACCTTGTGAAAGTAATAAATGCCACTGAATTATACACTTTAAAATGGTGAATTTTATGTTACATGAATTTACCACAATAAGAAAAAGAAAGTGATTTCAATCCATGCACCTTTGAAAAAGAATGTTGGGCCTCATAGAGCCAGAGCTCACCAAACATTGCTGCCATGGTCACCTCTGCTATTGCACAAGCATTCTCTCTTGTTCTTTAGCCTTCCAGCCTTTTAACTAGTCCTCAAACTCTATAAGGAAAGTTCATTTGCAAATCTTTATAAGCTTGCACCCACTTCTTGCTTCCTGGACCCAGCTAGAGAGAATAAGTTGTCATTCTGCCTTACCTTAGGTCTCCCAGTTCAACCTCCCCTTCAAATGAGAAGGTTCATGGAGGAAGGCGTGCCAGTCTAAGGGCAGCATGCCATGGAAAGCTTCCCACTCGCCAACCAGGATTATCCGAGGGTCTCAGCACTTACACAGAGTCACCACATACATCCTAAATACCCAGATAATTTTGGCCAGCAGACCCGATGCCACTTCTTCAGGCAAATACAGAAAATAACAACTTGAGAAGCTAAAAAGCAGATTGCTTTTATGTAATCACATAGAGAGGGAGTCAATGTGCAAAATCTACTTTCATTTATTGTTGATTACTGCTTTAAATATTTCCATTAAAAAGTAATGTTGCATCTGTCAAAATCAATGATCAAGAATTTTTTTTAAATTTTATTTACCAATACAATGGTGTATTAAATACAGAAAGCAGGAATGGCAGACACTGGAATCTAAGCGTGCATTTCACATTTGCTCTGAAGCCCAGGACTCAAGTAGGAGAGGGACTGCTTGCATTCAGTAAATGTACAGCAAGCCTCTGGGAGACAACTGTGCTTGTTCTTGATAAAGCACCAAAGTTGCAAAGATACTATATTTACATACTATCAAAAATGCAAGCAGAACAAAGTAGAGAAAGTAAAGTAGAGAAAAGCATTGGCCACATAACATTGAATATGTATTCAATTTTAAAATTATACTGAATGGTAGGAGTTCTTGTGCTTGTGCTGAGAAAGGAGTAGGTGAGCCTTGAGAGTTTTTCCTAAGCTTTTCTTTGCAGGCTCCTCACAAAATACTTAGTGAATGTGGATTTCCCTATTTGTTAACTACCTTGAAATACCAGTGCATGAGCTTTCCTTAAAATAGTCTGGTTTCAGTTTTATAACTTAGCAGACTTCACCATAGAAAGAACTTGCTCAGGTATTGGCTTTAAACAAAGGCAATCCTTCTGTGTTTCTTATTTGAGGTTATAAGCACCTGCAGAAGGACCCCACATGTGGGACAGTTCCCTGTCACAGAGAAAATACACAAGCATCCTTGACACCATACACTACATTGCCGTTCTTCTGATTCATGAATGATACTTGACCTTTTCAAATCAAGGAGTCCAGACTCATTAGAAATGCTGAAAACACACATTCCTGTCATCTAATTTGGTGGAAAGTACTGCAAATACTTATAATGCAGAATGAAAGAAGACAGGGCAGCAGTAAGTTTTTGCCAAGTGCTTTTTGCCTGCAGGTTCATGTAAGCTGCAAGCTGCTGGGTACTGGTGCTCAGCCGTGTTCTGAAGTGGTGCACCTGGGCAAGGTGAATGGAGCAGTCACATTTATACCCTAATTAATTAATGAATGTGGGCTTAAAACCTCACCCTGGAGTCACTAAAGGAAAGTTACACCTCAGCCAAGACAATACTTAGTTCAAGAGAGAGAAAGACAATCTCTATTGCTTATTGATGACCAGTATGTGTGTTTGGCAAGGAGGAAGTGAAGGGAGGGGGTGAAAGCAGTTTTCAAGAGTTCAGCATCCCCTACTATAGCTTTAATGAGAGTGTGAGCTGATTCAACCTATTCCGGAACACTATGACTATCTATGACTATGCTTCTTTCCCTCTCACCAATGCCCAGAGATGAAGCAGAGGGTAGGCTTGTGGATGGCAAAACCATTCTAGTTCCTTTAGCTCCCTCCCTTTAGGTCCCAAACCAAGACCTAAGCTGCTCCTACCTGGTAGAGCTCAGTGGCAGTGCACTGAGTGGTCAAGGTCTTCACAGGCTCAAGGTCATCTTCATCACTGCTCAGCTTCAGGTCATCCTCAAGCATCCTACAAAAAAGGCCGAGTGGCATTTGTGTTAGAAAGTATCTTTTCTAAATCATCCTCAGATACATCTTGCAACAAGGATAAAATATTGGAGCTACAATCTGCCAGCTGCAATTCTGTCAAAGGTGCAGAGGGAACCAAGATTCTTTCAGCTAATTAGATATTTGAGCTCTTATATTTATGTCATACTCTGCACACATCTTCCCTCTCTACCTTCCCCTAAATCAAGAGGAAAAAAGGACTATTTCAGCATCTCCAGAGATGACTGGAGTCTATATATTTTTACTACTGGAAGCGTAATAAATGTGCTGATCAATCACTGTGGAGGTGGGATGTGGCATTGAATCTCTACAGGAAAAGATGCTCCGAATCTCCCAGGAAAGAGTAGAAGCATGACAACAGCCCCTAGCTCTAGAGGCTGTTGTTGAAGCCTGCTGGGGCTCTCGGGATGACAGAGGCAAAAGGCCCAGTGAACTTCCACCGCCTTTCAGTGTCCTCTGCATTGTGGCAGCTTGGTGGCCACAAAATAGCTGGGCAAGAAATGGCCCTTCCTGTAAAACTTGATCCAACAGATGTAAGCCCATGATGTGGATAAGAAATCTCTCCTAAGGCAAGGTACCTGAAAAATATGAGTGGTCTGAATTTTGGTGATGAACTAGCACTTTCAAAATTGTTTATCGAGCACACGGAGCCTTTTGTTTCTACAGGGATATTAATTCCAGTGCCACCAGCTCTATCTATCTCCAGATCTGAGCTACAGCAGGAAGAGTGACTTATTATCTCAAAATTCCAGTTACACAGCCTTCAAAGACTAATTGGTGTTTATATTTTTGTTTATTAAATTCAACTTTAAATCTCATCCCCAGGCTTCAACTGGGGGCAGTCCCAGCCTGTCTGGACTGATTACCATTTTCCGAGTATGTTTTGCTCTTTCTCGCTTCCAGACTCAGCATCAGGCTCAGCTCCCTGGCTAGAACTCCCTTCTTCAACTCTGACAACCCTGTTTTTCCTCCATAGCTCAGTCAGATCCTACCTCCTCCACAAAAGCTTTTGAGAAAGAACCCCCATCTCAGAAAGAACACCTATTCCCTCTGCGCCACCCCAGCTCCGGCTGGATCACAGCACTGCTTTCCCCTGAGTGTCTCCTCCACCAGGCCCTAGTTTCCATGTGGGCAGGGGTTGCAACTTATTCACCTCCACAATCTTTACAGCATCTTCCCAGAAATGATACAATCCACCACCTTCATTTTGCAGACAAGGAAAGAAAGGTTCGGAGAATCCAAGTGCTTTGCTCAAGGTCACATAGCTAGTTGGTGCTAGAGCCAATCCTAAAACTGCCATCTCCTGATTCCCACCTGTGTGTTTTTTCCAGAAGGGAAGCTGGAAAGCAAAAGGCAGCTTCTAATTTGATAAATACAGGAATGTATTATTTTAGAGATTATGTTCAAATGTTAGAAAGAGATTCGGGTCGGAGTGGGTATCCAATAACTCTCCAAAGAAAGCACAGCTCCTCCACTTTCACGCTCAGCCACATACGGCCAGGATGTGTTCACTGAGGTCTGAAAACCGAAGACTGACATAAAGGATGATTGGTGGGAAGGACAACTGTTAGAGTTGGTTTCAGATAAACCGAATTTGCAGGATTTATGACTGTCCTTCAAGAGACTAATGGATGTTTTGAAGATCTCAGAGAAGGAGACAAAATGTATCTTGGCATTTCTTCTGCAGTTGCAGGCTTATGACTCTGAACAAATAATTCTTTACAACACATTGTGGTAAGTGAAGACTGTATCATTCTCATAAGCTGTAGAATTCAAATATTTAAAAACTACCTACGCTGGTCATAAAGGGCTTCATTTTCCTGTGTGTGCGCGTGTGTTTGTGTGTGTGTGTATATCTCAATACAGGTAGCCAATGTCTATGTGTTAATTTACATCTAAGTGTTCAGCAAAATAAATGATTCCTACCATTTAGAGGATCAATTTCTGTGTCAGGGAAGGTGCTAAGTATTTGACCAGCAGCATGTAATTTGGACCCAATGAAGGAAATTCTATTATTAGCCCCATTTTCCAGATGGAAACACTGACGCTTAGAGAGGTCATGGAACTTGCTCATGATCACACAGCTAGGAAATCATGGAGGCAAACATGGAACTCAGACCATCTTCAGCCAGACTTGAGAGTATATAATGTTTTGCTAGAGGATGGAACTTACAAAGGATCAGGTGTATTAAATAAAATCAACAGCAACAACAACAAAAAAACACAAAACAAAACAAAACACATTGACATGGAGTCAAGATATTTGGATTCAGCTGCTGGCTAATCAAAAACTGATACCTTGAGTGAATCGTTTACTGTCTCTGAGCCTAATCTGTGTCCCTCATCTGTAAAATGGGATAATAATTAAACTCTTGCACAGGATGATAGTGGTGGTGAGCATAACATAAGCTAATGCATTTGAATTGCTTTATGAAAGCAGATAATCAATGCAGGGCATCATGATTAGTTTGGAAATATGTCATCTCAGTTAGAAATAATGTATATCATTAATACTATCAACAAGTAATCAGAAGCAAAGTCTTCATGAGCCTTTGTTTTTCTCATTTTATTTGCCAAGTAATCTGAAGGTAAGTCATGGTGAGTCAGGAAATGTCTCATGGCATCTCAAAGCTGGATCTAGAATAGGCTCGTGGTCTTCAGGCTATTCGCCTTCAAGTAGAACTAGCCCATCCAGAGCCAGAGCATGGAGAACCGAGCTCAGTAGTGATTTTACTCTCCAATCATCTCTATGTGATTTTAACATGGAAATGAAAGGCCCTCCCATGTACAGTTCTGGAAATGGGCAGCCAATCTACATAGCGATTGACATTAAACACCATGCAACAAGCTTGGTATGGATTTTGTTGTTAATAAAGGACAATTTGATCGGTATATTCAAGTCTCAGTAAACACAAGTTAAGGAAGTTACTAGGAAGGCAAACTACCATTAGTTATCTCTGGAGTTGTTAGGGATTCATTTCATTCTGCTCCTTCCCTGACCTATTAAGCTTTATTATTGAATATACATGTACTTGTTTGCATTTCCCTCCACAGCTAATGCTGAACATTACTCTAGGGAAAGCATAGGATTATGAAAGATTTTGGATTTAATTATTATAGCAGCACCATTCACACCCATTGCAGTTAAGGTAGTCTCAGCAGAAAAAATGGTACGTTCATGAGGTTATAATTCCATAGACAAATTCATCACACACTGGGTATCCCAAATGTGAAAAAACCATGCTCATATAAATGTATGCCTGAGTGTGTGAGATCTTAAAGAACAACAAAGTGTTCTTTCACTTTTCAATTAGATGAAAACAGAACAAAGTAGACTTCCTTAGTGACTTCAGCTGTTTGTTCAGGATCTAGTAGTTCACAATGTCTGCCTTTGTACAAAAACTCTGTTTTTATTTTTACTATGACTTATAATTTCTACAGTATTAAGAAGCAAAATAGTCCATAAAACTGTGTCAACAAAACCAAGTCCTTGCCCTGAAGAGAGGATCCTATAAAAGCTCAAAAAATGAAATTTGGGGCAGATGAGATAGAATGAACAAAAAGAAGTCTGAGGAGGCATTGGAGAAGGAAGGGAGAGTTGCACCCAGGGTCTTTTCTGTTCCTAAATCTCTGGGCCTCAAGCTGAACCTGGTGGCCTTAGAGGGCTCTTTGCCCTGGGACATCCTAGGACACTTTGATATCACAGACTTTGTGTGAGTTTTCCTCATAAAATCATAAGATTACAGAAACCTTGCCACTTCACATGGTGATTTTGAAGAGGAAAAAATAGAGGGCTTGAAACATCATTACAGAAGGTTCTATGGAAATGAAGCCTTCAGTTGAGGCAGCATGGGCTTAAGAGCAAGGGTTTGAGAGCCAGACAGACCTGAGTTCAAATACAGGATTTTCTAAGGGGTTTGCTCTCTTGAACTAGTTAATAAAACTCTTTGAATCTCAATTTTTTTGCATGTTAAAATGAGGAAAAATAACACATACTTTGGAGAATTTTTGGAAGGATTAGAAAGTTTATACAAATTGCCTAGGAGTTAATATAGGTAGCTATTGTTTTTATCTTGGTTATTATTGCTATTGTTGTTATTATTATTACCCGAGAAATAGTGCTGTAGAGGTTCAAATAATAAAAAGCTCTGATGGTGACCCAGAGACTGGCAGAGGTATCAACTAGAAAGCATCGTTGGAAGCCCGTGACCAGATGAGGAAAGGTTCATAGATACTTAAGGAGTTTGGAAAGTTTCAGGGCTTGGATTTACTCTTCCAGAATGTTCTACACCCATCATGGCTGTTTTGGGTTTCCTGAGATCCTCCCAGAGTGTTTACAGATCCCCTGGAGATTTGAAAGCCTGTTGCCAGAGGAAACACCCAGACAATTCCAAGTGAAAAAAAAAAGAAAAAAAAGAGTGGCTCTGATGTCCTACTCCTTATATCTGTGGAGCAACCTGCAGATACAGAAAAATAGGCCAGGGATGGCCCCCACTGGAAGTTGTGCTCACCTTGAGCACCTTGTCTTTGGGCCTGCCACTCTCAGGAGGCAGTTCAACACACACCTGGCTCTAACATTTGTATATAAGGCTGGGCTTCAGAGGCTGTTAGTTGATCCAGAATCCTTTCTCAGAAGCAATTTTAAAAACCCTAAATGGTTCTCAGGGCTTGCAAACCTACATAGTACCTTTTTGTGAAATACAATATGGTGCCCCTCTGGACAGACAGCTTATCAGGTGAATCACTTTATATTGGCTGGATTCCAGCTTCTAGGTATCTATAGAAATAGTTGTAATGTTGGTGACTGATACTGAGATGGACACTGGCTCTCACAATTGGAAGTGCCTGTAAGTGTTATCTACTTCACCTTGTCACCCAGTGGAGGTATCTACAACATCCCCAACATATGGCCATAAGCCATCGTCTGATGGGTAGCAGGCAATACTCTTCTATTGTTCAGTA